GTGTGCATTTCTCTAGGAAGCATGTTCCCCTGTGCAAAGCACGACCCAAGAATCAATGTTCTAGAAACAACATTCCATCCCCACATCAGTCAACACTTCATCCTTCACCACAGCTGTACCGGAAGGTTAGTTGAACATCCCCCGTCCTCAGATTGGAGACGGTGGAGAGATGAATTTCCCAAGCTCTCAATTTCCTGAATGGAAAAGACAAATGTGAACTCAGGAAGGGGTGAAAGGGTGACGTGATGGGCTGCTGCTCCGCAGTCCTCACGTGGTCCTGGTATAACTCGTCACCACACCAGGGAGTTCCAGCATCTGTGTGTGCATGTGGAGGCACGACAGCCTAGAGAGATCCCAACACTGCCCAGCACTGTAAGATGTCCTCAGTGATGGCGAAAGGCAGGGTAGCAACACAGTGGAGTCTGGGGTGGTCCTTCATGTGAAACACACATAGGGGAGTTACAGGCTTTTGGCTGCAGTGGTGGTGTCATTTCTCAGCTGCTGTTCAAAAGGGGAGAATAATTAGAGATATGTCCCATTGTATTTAAAGATATGATTGGACCCAATGGGGAGGCTCATGCCTGTAATCCCAGCACTTTGAGAGGTTGAGGCAGGAGGATCACTTGAGCCCAAGAGTTTAAGATCAGCCTGGGCAACACAGTAAAGCCACATCTCTACACAAAATACAAAAATTAGCCGGGCGTGGTGACGTGCTCCTGTAGTCCCAGTTTCTCAGGAGGCTGAGGTGGGAGGATTGCTTTAGCCTTGCAGGTTGAGGCTGCAGTGAGTCACGATTATGCCACTGCATCCCATCTGGGTGACAGAGTGAGACCCTGTCACAAAAAAGCCAACCAAACCAAAACAAAAATCATGAGAACCACAAGCCTTAGAAATGCTCCAGCTTAGTGACACACACTCAAGAGACAGTGCCCAGTATGATCTGAAAACACAACCTGGGTGTTAGCCTGGCGCCCCTCTTCCCTGCTGGAATCTCTAACATTGGGCTAGAGAGGATCAGTGCCCCACATGCTGCCCCCATGACGCGCTGTCCCAGTGTCGGAGCCAGTGCGAGTGTGAGCAGCAATGTACTCCATGGAGACGCGCACAGGTTGTATGGAAAAGAGAACGGAAGGACAGATAGCATGTGCTAAATAAGGGTTATCTTTAAATGGGAAAAAAACTGAGTATTTTCAAAGCTTTGTTTCATTGTCCTAAAAACAAAGGGTTAGTGAATAAATATAATATTTTGGTTAGAATTAAATCTTCTCTTTAAAGTTGTTTGTCAAGTAGAAAACCTCTAGGAGGGATGATAGTCACAGCAGCAGCACAGGTGGATTCTAGGGAGGAAATAATGTTGGAAGGACTCAGGAAGGGAGGGCAAGTGAGCTGGGGTCAGAGTAGGAAGCAGGAGTCCTGAGAGGCTGCAGGGACACAGCCTGCCCTGGGTGGTGTGCCCTGTTCGAGATGAGCTGTTTCACGTTGATGAGGTGACCTGGAGGTAGAAAGCCTTTCCTCCCTGCTCCTCTCCTGCATCTGCTGCCCTCCATCCACAGCCATGTCAACCAGTGGCTCGAATCGTTCTGCTCCCCTCCTGCACCTGCTGCCCTCCATCCACAGCCACGTCAACCAGTGGCTCGAATCGTTCTGCTCCTCTCCTGCACCTGCTGCCCTCCATCCACAGCCATGTCAACCAGTGGCTCGAATCGTTCTGCTCCCCTCCTGCACCTGCTGCCCTCCATCCACAGCCACGTCAACCAGTGGCTTGAATCGTTCTGCTCCTCTCCTGCACCTGCTGCCCTCCATCCACAGCCATGTCAACCAGTGGTTTGAATCGTTCTGCTCCTCTCCTGCACCTGCTGCCCTCCATCCACAGCCATGTCAACCAGTGGCTTGAATCGTTCTGCTCCCCTCCTGCACCTGCTGCCCTCCATCCACAGCCATGTCAACCAGTGGCTTGAATCATTCTGCTCCCCTCCTGCACCTGCTGCCCTCCATCCACAGCCATGTCAACCAGTGGCTCGAATCGTTCTCCTGCACCTGCTGCCCTCCATCCACAGCCACGTCAACCAGTGGCTCGAATCGTTCTGCTCCTCTCCTGCACCTGCTGCCCTCCATCCACACCCACGTCAACCAGTGGCTCGAATCGTTCTGCTCCTCTCCTGTACCTGCTGCCCTCCATCCACAGCCACGTCAACCAGTGGCTCGAATCGTTGATGAGCAATGCCGCCAAGGTGCTGACAGCCACTCTGTGTCCTCCTGGTTCCCACTGAGGATCCCCTGGAAGGCCTCACCAATGAGCTCAGATGAGACTGCCCATGGCATTTGAAGGTCAAGCTACCTGGTTTCATCTGAAAGTTACTTTCTTAGCTTTATCTTACTGAATTAAAACAAGATATGATCATATGTATCATAGGTGACTTAAATACGGTGTCCTTTGTGGGGGGAATTCTGAGTGAGTCTGTCCCCCACTGAGGCTTGATTTAAGGCAGCAAGAGAAAATGACAGCATCAGCCACGCCCTTAGTGGCAGTGAGCTTTTCCCTTAGTAGCTTTTCTCCTTGGGGCAAAATCACTTAATTGCCAAGCAACTTGACCTTGAGAGGAAACATCCTCCAGGAGAAACTTCAGCATGAGTCGGTTTATCCTGTTCTTCTGTGTTCCTTTGAGCACTGTTTTCCATCTGGTTTTCTAATGTCACCAAGTGCAGAAAAGACCTGTGCACACAGGACGCAGGATGGTCTGAAGCTCACAGTTTCTTTCTTTCTCTAAATGCAGGCTGACAAATACGCCAAAGAAAAAGGTGTGTATTCTGGAATCAGTCTTTTCTAAGGAAAGATCTTCAGTGTTGCAAAAGGTGGTACTTCCTAGTCTGCTTTTGCTGGAGAGCCACTTTGGTTTTGCGCTCCCTGACAGAAATGAGGTTTGGACAGTTTGGTGTTAAAAACGCTGAGTCCAGTAAAGAACTGTGACCATCCACTCGAGTCCGGGGAGGCAGGATTGTCATGTAGATGGAACAGTGTGTTGTGCATCGGGGTGGGGATGTACGGAGGAGAGAGTCGTGTGGAGCGATTGGGAACATCTTGGGAGTGTGTGTGCATTTCCCCAGAAAGCATGTTCCCCTGTGCAGAGCACAACCCAAGGAGCACTTTTCCTAAAAACTTGTATCACCACTGCACACTTCACATAAATTAACGCATTCATCCTCTCCCACAGCTGTACCTGAAGGTCAATTTTATATCCTCATCCTCAGATAGAGGCGGTGCAGAGATGAATTTCCCAGGCTCTCGATCTCCTAAGTGGAAGAGGCGAATGTGAACTCAGGAATGGATGGAGGGTTGATGCAATGGGCTACTGTTGTGCACTCACCAGCCAGCCCTGGTGTAACTCGTCATGCCAGGGAATTCCGGCATCTGTCTGCGTGTGGAAGGATGAGAGCCTAGACAGGCCCCAAACACTGTCGGTGTAGGGAGGTCTCAAAGGTTCCCTAACCCAGGGTAGGAATAGTTACATTTTCCACTGGACTTTGGTGTGATCATTAATGTGAAACACACAGAGAGAGCTCACAGGCTGTCAGCAGCAGTGGTGGGGTCATTTCTCAGTTCGTGGTCAAAAGCAGAGAATAATCAGGGACCTGCTCTATTGTGTTTAATAACAGGATCATCACAAGCCTCAGAAATGCTCCAGTTGGCCAGGTGGGTGGCTCACGCCTGTAAACCTAGCACTTCAGGAGGCTGAGGCAAGAGGATGGCTTGAGTCCAGGAGGTAGAGGTCAGCCTAGGCAACATGGCAAAAACCCGTATCTACTAAAAATAATCAGCTGTGTGTGGTGGTGCACCTATAGTCCCAGCTACCTCGGAGGTTGAGTGGGGAGGATCACTTGAGCCCAGAAGGCGCAGGTTCCAGTGAGCAGAGATCAAGTCACTACCGTCCAGCTTGGGTGACAGAGACCGTCTATCAAAAAAATAATAATAAAGAGGAAAAATAAATGCTTTAGTTGAGGAGTAAACACAGTGAAGACCCAGCACCGAATATGGTTTCAAGGAACAACTTGGGTGTTAGCCTACCACCCATCTCCCCTGCACGGCTGGGTTGGGGAGGGTCCGCACCCTCACCTGCTGTCCCATGATGGACTGTCCCAGTGTCAGAGCCCCTGTGCGTGTGAGCAGCAACGGACTCCCAACGCACACACACACATTGCATTGAGAAGGCTGAGTGCCAGGACAGATAGCAGTTGTTAAGTAGGAGTTATCTTTAAATGAAAAAATAACTTACTATTTTCAAAGCTTTGTTTTATTGTCTTTAAAACAAAAGATTAGTGAATATATAGAATATTTTGGCTTGAATGAAATATTCTTCCTAGACGAAGGTTTCTTTTTACCAAGTATAAAATATTCTAGAATGACAGATACACACAGAAGGTGAATTCTAGGAAGGAAATGACCTTGGAAGGACGCAGGAAGGGAGGGCAAGTGAGCTTGGGTCCGATCAGGAGGCAGGAGCCCTGAGAGGCTGCAGGGACGCCCAGCCTGCCCTGGGTGCTGTGCCCTGTTCAAGATGGGCTATTTCACTTGCTGAGGTGGCCTGGGGCTAGAAAGCTGTTCTTCCTGCTCCTCCCTGCACCTGCTGATGGTCTTACTTTGTCTTCCTAGATTCCACCGTGGATCCAATGGAGGAACACCTCAGGGAGAAGAAAAAGGAGGCCCCATGGAAAGTGAAGGTCAGACCCCCTGCATTTGAGGAATACGGTTGCTTTCCTAGCTTTATTTTTCTGAATGAGCCTAAGAGATGAGAATCTGACAGTATGTATTATAGACGACCTATACAGTTGTCCTTGGTCAGGGGAATTCTGAGTGAGAGCCTGTTCCCCAGTGAGGCTTGATTTTAAATAGCAGGATAAAATGACAGCATCAGCCACACACTGTGTGGCAGTGAGCTTTTCCCTTAGCAGCTTGATTCTCTCCTTGGAACAAAATTACTTAGGTTGCCAAGCCACATGGACTTGGAGGAAACATACTCCAAGGAAACTGTGTCTGTAGCATGAGTCGGTTTGTCCTGTTCTTTTGTGTTCCTTGGACTTGAGCACTGTTTCCCATCTGGTTTTCTAATGTCACCAAGTGAAGAAAAGGCCTGTGCACACAGCACACAGCCTGGTCTGGCGCTCACAGCAATATGTTTTCTGTGATTACAGGAGGCCTGGAGAGAGCAGGAGAGTGGTATGTATGGGGGAATCCCTCCCGTGTGAATGAGGAATCCAGGTGATGAGGAATGTGCCGCCGTCTCGCTGGCTTTCCTGCACACAGGCAGCCGGAGTGGAGCTTCCTGTTGTGACTGAGGACCAGGCTGTGGTGGTGAAGTGGTTGCTCCAGGTAAGGAGAGATGGGCACATTCTGCAGTCCCTGGGAGCCGCCACGTTCTCTCTATGTGGGGTGGAGTTGTGTGCATGGGGCTGGTGTGTGTTGGCCGAGGTTGATCTATCCCAAAATCCTATTTAACTGGAGGGAGTCTCACAGCTCCTGGCCAGGGCAGCCGCTTCACACTAGTTGCAGCAGAAGTGGGAGGGGAGCCAGTTCCAGTGCGGGATGAGCTAAGCAAAGGGAGGGGCTGCCCCAGAGGCCAGGTGTTCCTTGCAAATCTCCCTTGTGACCCATAAGACATCACTTTGCTTGTTTTTCTGAGATAGGCTTGGAATCATCAGTGCCAAAGTCTGTGACCTGCCACCCATGGGGGGAAGGATTCTGGCCATGGCTGGTCACTGTGAGAGCAGAGGTCAAGTCCTCCTTGTTCCTTCTCATTCCAGAGCTCAGCCCCGGGCAGCCCATCTTGGGGCCCCAGTGATGTTCTGATGCACACAGCCATGTGCTGAGATAGACCACAAGTGTGAAAAGGCTTCCTGCTCACCCTCCACAGTCTGCTGAGTCTCACACAAATCCAGGTTCCTGTGTGGATTCTGATTCAGGGCCAGGGGGGAAGTGCCTGGGCTCCCCTCTCTGTCTGCTGTTGTGGTCCCATCTGCTCCTGGATCATGAAATTAAGGATTAAGATAGTAAATATTGTGTATAGCTCACCATATTTTAAAGTCCATTAAAATAACTGCAGTAGGAGCATAGGTATTTTTAGGAAGGTTAAATGACATAGTAACATTTTTATGAAAAAGAGGATATTTACCAGGCTTCTTTCTGCGAGGAGACCCTGTCCTGGAGTGATGTCGTGCATTTGTGTGCTGCCTGTGTGAACACACTGCCTACTTCACAGTGATGAGGGTGGCTTAGCCAGAGACTCGAGGCTGTGTCTCCCAGGGCTCTCTTGATGGTCTCCTCTGCCTCCTTCACCACCAAGGAGGGTGGCCCAGCAGCAGCTTGGCTCATGCTCTCGCCCACCTCCTCCTCACACGCCAGCCCTGTGTGCCCAGCACCCAAGACTGCCAGAGGTCCTTCAGCAGCTCCCATGGCTGACAGAGACTCTATGTTTCCTAGCGACGGTGGCCAGTGAGATGTTTCCAGAAATGACCCTAGCTCTTTGCCAGGTAGTCTTCTTTCTTTGTCTGAGAGGAGAATTTTATTTCTCTTGGTTTCTTTCCATTTTATTTGCATTATGATATGCAAATCTCACCATGGGAATTATAGATGAATTGCAGAATTTCTTGGTGGGCAAATGTAAGTAAGAGTCCATTACCAACTAAGCCCTGATTCAAGATGGCACCCATAGGTGACAGCTTCAGGGACAGACTGCATGGCAGACAGCATTTTCCTCATGAGAAATGCTGGCTTTTAAAAAGAATGTAGAATTTGCAACCAAAAGACGTTGGTCTAGATAGAAGCAGCTGGACCCCACAGTGTGGCATGTGTTCGTTTGAACATTGTACGGTGACCTGTCACGGAGGTCGTCTGAAGATGGAGCCCTTGTCTACGGCCGTAGCACCCTGAGTGCACCCGCTCTTATCTCATGATGAAGGTCCTGCCTCCGTCCCAGCTGCCACTCTGTGAACTGCCGTTTCACACTGTGCAGAGCCAGGAGACCAGTGATCACGACGGGAGGCGACCTTTGCTGCTGTTCTCAAGATGTGCTCATTTCCATCTTCTCACTGCAGTTTCTTCAGATCAGCCACTTGTACTTAAAATGTCTCCCTGATTTTTTTTTTTGTTTCCCCAACTCCAGCTTGTCTGTAGATGTACAAATTTTAGAGTTTTACGACTCAATTTGTGTTCTTGATTTTTCTATCAAGATTTTTGCCTTAAACATTTTCCTCTATTTAGAAAAATGTCCCATTTCCCATGCCAATTTTATGCAGGCTTTTCGCTAGAATAGATCTGGAAGGAACACAGCAATACTGCCTTCACCAGATCCGGAGAATCTTGATACCAAGTGTGGTATGAGACAGCCCATGAGAGGGAGATTACAGGCCAGTCTTCTGAATAGAGACATCCAAACCTGAAACCAAATATTACAGCAGGCTAAATGCAGAGACTGCTACAAATGATAATGAGTTATTTCATGATTTGAAACAATTTTGCCTAGTTTAAAGGTTTTGGGGATTGTTTTAAAGAAAATTTTAAAAGATAAATACAACTGAATGAATGTAAACAGTTATAAAATAGAAAACGTTATGAGGTGATAAAAGGCTTATGAAACATGTTTTGTAACCTCATAATTTCTAATCCCAATCAAAACTGGGATAGATTTGTTTATAAGGTCTTATTAAAATTAGCTACAGTATTAAACATACGCTAATATCAAACTAGAATTTTGGTTGAAAAGTAAGCTGTTCTTAAAGATATGAATTTGTTCTCAATGAGAATACAAGAGGTAACAATTTTTCATTCTGAAATCTATTTCTTTTTAAAACTTCTCAGACTGATGCCTCAGAAGTTCGACTTTTACCGTGTCTCTGTATGTGTAATTTACAGGTCCCACATCATCGCCTTCTGTTTCTTTTTTCCTGGAAAAGTTGCATCTTTCTACTTGGCTGGGATGATAACTCTCCTTTTCTTTCTTTCTTTCTTTTTTTTTTTTTTTTTTTTTTTTTTTTTTTTTTTTTTTTGGGGGGGGGGTTTTTTTGTTTGTTCGTTTGTTTTTGGAGACGAGGTTGCCCTCTGTCGCCCAGGCTGGAGTGCAATGGCACAGTCTCGGCTCACTACAACCTCCACCTCCTTCAAATTTTCATCAGCTCTGTCACCTTCCCCCAGGTTCTAATTCTGTCACTGTAACACCAACACACTTGCCTTCAAGGTCTAAAAAGCCAACATTGGTCTCAGCTGTCACATGGTTTTGTGCTCTCGGCTTTTGGTCTATCTGGGTTGTCTCCTGCGAGCAGGCGAGGGAACTCGCTTTCCTGCTCACAGCACCTGCTCATGGCCCGGAGCCCACCTTACCTGTGTCTCATTAACCTCGAGGGCCTGCTCACCAGGGTGGCTTCCAGGCCATTCAGTGCCCTTCGTCGAGGCGCTGCCCACTCTCAGGTAGCTGCTCAGGTCAGCCGTCAGCAAGATGGGTGGGTCACAGACTTAGTTCATCAAACCACTGATGCACCAGCCCCAGTGGCCACGTTTTCAGTTAACTTCCGTTAACTGCTCCTGCAGGGTTGGTCAGTTGAAGGAAAGTTTTTTCTGGCACAGCCGTTAAGTGGCAGTTGGCTCGGAACGTCCTGAGTCCTGAGCCAGCTTGGGGGCCAAGCCGACCCCTGGTCCCTTGGGGTGGTCACTGGTCACATGCTCACCACAAAGCAAGGCCAGGGGCCAGAGGTTTCTGTTTGAATGATCTGAGCTCTTGTCTGGACTCAGCCACCTCCTGCCTCAGCCTCCTGAGTAGCTGGGACTTCAGGCACCCGCCACCGCGTCAGGCTAATTTTTGTATTTTTAGTAGAGACAGGGTTTCACCATGTTGGCGAGGCAGGTCTTGAACTCCTGAACGCCTCACCTCCTGATCCACCTGCCTTGGCCTCCCAAATGGTGGGATTACAAGCGTGAGCCACCATGCCTGGCCTTTTTTTTTTTTTTTTTTTTTTTTAAACACTATTTATAGACAGAATACAGAAGAAACCACGTAAAAACCCAACTGGAGGTGGCCACATTTTAAGTTCATTCCCATTTAATTGCTTGTTCAGGTGGTTCAGTTGAAGGGAGTTTTCATTCTTGCAGCCATCGATGTGGTGTTTAGTCTGGATGTCCTAAGTTCCGAACTACCTGGGGCCAAGCCAGACTTGTCCCTTGGTGTGGTCAGTTGGTGGAGGCTGCTCACCTGTCCAGAGAGCTGACAGTACGGGCGCTGCGGTAAGTGATGCCAGACATTTGCATCTTGTTCCCTCAGAGAGCTTCGTTTGAGAGAAAGTGCCATATTTTAGCCCCAGGAGTTTAAACCGTAGAGACGCGAGTCTATGTTTTGTTTAATGATTTGAGCTTTTTCTGGACTTACAAGCACCCTCTTCCCAATACCTCACCTTCCTGAAGAGCCCCATTGGTGCGCAGAGGATTGAGAAAGGGAGTGGAATGACTCCAGGTTCAGGGTCCAGGCCACTGATTTACGAGGCCTCCAGGTGTTCAGGGATCTCTGTCCCCGGAAAATCAACCAAATTCTTGTCCCAGATCTATCATTGGTCAGTGCTGTGAATCTGGGCAGGCCGCTCAAATCTCTTCATTTCACGTCTCTGAACCGTCAACTCTGAGTGGCAGCCCCTGCTCTGCTCATCTCTCTGGACTGATGTGGGCACCACGGGAAATTCGGACAGAAATTTTCATGAGTTCTAAAGCATGGGACCCATGTCAAGAATGAAGAGAATTTTACCCTCCACTGCCCTGGAGTCCCCAATTCCTTCTCTATTAACCACTACCAAGGGCCTGGGTTCTTCTTCCAGACACGAAACAATTGAACACTTTATGGCACTTAGGAAGCACCCGTCTTAAGGCTTTAAGTGGTCTGTTTAACTATTTTTACTCTTTTAACATAACGTAGGCCATTATCAACATTTCCACATTCAAACTAGGGATCGGAGGCCCAGAGGGGTCTATAGAACTTCCTCAGGTTCTAGCAGCTTCTCAAAAGTCCTCGAGCTCAGATCCTATGCACCAGACCCTACGCTCTTGGTCACTCCAATCTACTACCTTTCTGTAATGTCTCATCTCAATACAGGCATTTGCCTGCACAGTTGTAAGTGCAACCCACAGTGTAAGTCCTTTCTGAAGCCAAACTCAGATTCAGGGGGCTTTGCTCTGCGGATGACGAACAATGGGATCAAACATGTAAGCTGTGAATAAATAATGACTCATTTCTCTGATCTTCTGCAGCAAGATATCAACAGCTGTCTTTATTTTAATTCATTTTCCAGCGTGTTCCATCCAGGATGAAGTAGTGGATCCTGAGGTGCCCAGGAAATCCCCCGTCAGACACCACCACAGGCATAAGGAGCGAATCCTCCATCACTGGCATCGCAGCCGTGTACACCCTAGAGTTGCATCAACGGAAGGTATCGTGGAAATTCAGTTGTTCAGTTCATTCATGATATGATTTCTAGATTCTTTAGTGTCTCATATTTCAGACAATTGTAAAATTGTGATACTATATTCTTTATTCCACGTGTGCATATTTAAATGTGTTAAGTCAATCATTAGTGCTACAACTACAGGAGTAAAGGTGTATTTCCATTCCAGGTTTGGGTTTACTTTTAATAGTAAATAACATCTCAGTGCAAATTGTAGACATTTTGCTGATTGCTAAATATTAACTAAAAAGGATCTTTTTCTGAGACAATGTTGCCAGGTTTGTAAAGTGATGGACATCACTTCAAACTGTATGGAAGTAACCTAAAAATGGAGGAAGTGGTATCGAAAATTTCCGTATACCCACCTTCCTCAGTTTTTTTTTTTTGTGATCCCATCTTACGTGAGTGTGATAACGCTTGTAACAATGACTGAGCCAATAGTGACACATTCTTATGCACAGAAGTCCAGGGTTAGCATCAATGGCTGAGCCAATAGTGACACATTCTTATGAACAGAAGTCCAGGGTTAGCATCAAGGTTCACTCTGTGTCGTCCAGTCTGGGTTTTGACAAACTCACAATGTCCTTTGTCACCCTGACGGAATAATTTCACACCCTAAACATGACCTGAGCTGCACCTACTAATTCCTCTCCTTTTCTGAGGATTCCTGACAACCATAGATTATTTTACTGCCTCTATAGGTTTCCTTTTCCAGAATTTTGGAATCATAGACTACTACTGACTACTACTTCTGACTAACTCATTTTACGTAGCAATATACATGTACATGTAAGATCTTTTGTATCGTTTTGAAGCTTAACAGCTTAGTAATTCTTAGCAATGAACAATAGCCCATTGGTGTCATCAAACAGTGTTAGCTGGTTCTGTCACCTCCTGAAGACCATCTCAGCTGCTTCCAGTGTGGGCAATTATGAATAAAGCTGCCTACATTCTTGTGCAGATTTTAAGATGAACATGATTTTTAAATTTAGCTGGGTAAATATGTAAAATTTTGATCACTTGCTGGTAAGACTATGTTTTCCGTTGTGTTAGGTAGAATTCACCAGTACAATTATGTGGGCATTTTTTTTAAAGTTATTACTTACTGATCAAATTCTATAACAACCGAGGCCTACTCAGATTGTCTCTCTCTCCTTTGGGTGGTTATGGTAGTTTCTCTTTTTGAAGGCATTTGTCCATTTCATCTAAGCTAGGAAATTTGTGGGCATAGACACTTGAATCTCACAAGTTGCCTACTTGGTTCTCTTCCAAGGGTACTGTGCTTCCTGTCATTCCTACTCTAAAACTTTTTAATACACTTTCACTGCTGCACTTAAAAAATTGCAGGCATAGATTTGTTGAAAGTATTCTGTTATTATTTTCTTAATGTTCATGGGATCAGCAGGGATAATTCCTCTTCTGTTCATATTATTTGTACATCGTGTCTTCTATCTTTTCTTTGTGATTAGCCTGGCTGGAGGTTTACCAATTCTGTTGATCTTTTCTAAGAGGCAGCTTTTGGTTTTGTTGAGCTTCTTTGTTTATTTTATTATTTGTATTATATTGATTTCTGCAAATATTGTTATATTTGGGGGATGAGGGTTGCCTTGTTTACATTACACTACACTTTTTTCTCTAGTTTCCTAAGGTGGAAAGTAAGACATCCGGGTTTGGATTACGTTTAGTTTACTGCACAGAATTGTGAATGGCACTGATGTCCCTGAAGTGTGTACTTGATTATTATAATAATAAATATGATGTATTTTGGCCACAATATTGATTTTAAAGCCAATAAAATGGATAAGTGCAGGAGGAGCATATGTAGATCCAGGAAAGATAAATGACATTATAACATTTCAACAACAAAAGAAAATTTACCGGGCCTCAAAATGCACAAGGGGGTGATGGGACACTGTCATGGAATCAGCAGTGCATCTGTGTGCCGCCTTGTGTGAACACTGCCTATTTCACAGTGGTGAGGTGGCTTAGCCAGAGAACCAGGCCCTGACTTCTGTGGCTTTCCTGATGGTCTCATTTGCCTTCCCTCATCACCAAGGAGGGTGTCCCAGTGGCAGGCAAGTTTCTGCCCTTAACCCACCTCCTTTACACACGCCATCCCCCATCCCCAGCACCCAAGGCTGCCTAAGGGATTCCTTCTGTGGAACCAACATGGTGACAGTTACTCTGTGTTTCCTAGATCAGGATGAGGACCTGGTGCTGGAGCCTTCATCTGAGGATGTCCCAGGCATTTACATGGTAAGGTCTTCTTTATGTTTCTAAGATGGAAATGTTGTTGCTCTTGGTTCTTTTTTATTTGATTTGAATTGAGATATAAAAATCTTATCATGTACATTATAGATGACTTACAGAATTTTTTGGTGAGAAAACGTGAGGGTTCATTACCAGGTAAGAAATGATCTCAGATGGCATTCTTAGATGACACCTTCGGTTACTAACTGTATGGCAGAAAGAATTTTTTTAGGGGAAAAGCTTTCTTCTTATAACATTGTGACTATACAATCAAAACAGTCTTGGAAGTCTTGCATAAAAACCGTGTGCCTTTCCAGAAAGGTCTTCCAGGCTTTATTTTGGGACCGTTGCCTCAACCGCTGCCTCCCACCTGCTTTTTCAACGTCACCAAGTAAAGAAAAGATCTGTATGGTGAAACCCCACCTCCACTAAAAATACAAAAATTAGCCGGGCGTGCTGACCGGCTACTGTGATCTTAGCTACTGGGGAGGCAGCGGGAGCAGGATCGCTTGAGCCCAAGCGGCAGATGTTGCAGTGAGTCAAGATCATGACATTGTACTCCAGCCTGGGTGGCAGAGCGAGATTCCAGCAAAGAGAGACAGAGAAAAGAAAAACCTGTGCACACAGGACACAGCATGGTCTGACCCTTACAGTGTTTTGTTTTTCTCTAAATACAGGTGGACAAAGCCACAGTGACAAACAGTACGTATTCTGGGATCACCCCTATGCTGAGGAAAAATTCTAGTGTTGACAAAGGTGACACTTTCTTGCCTCATTTTTCTGGAGAGCCACTCTGGTTTGAACTTCCTGCCAGATATGAGGTTCAAGCACTTTTGTCCACATGTCAGGCTGTCCCCGTGCTGGAGTCAGTGTGAGCATGAGGAGCAGTGCACTCCATGGTGCACACACATCGTGTTGAAAAGGACGAGTGGAAGGACAAATACCAGATGCTAAGTAGGGGTCATCGTTAAATGGTAGGATGATTGAGTATTTTCAAATTTTGGTTTAATTGCCTTATAACAAAAAGTTAATGAAATCTTTTGGCTAGAATTAAATCTCCTACTTTAAGAAAGGTTGCTTCTTCAGTACAAAATCTTCTAGAAGGGATGACATACAGAGCAGCAGCACATGTGGATTCTGAGGAGGAAATGACTTTGGCAGGGATCAATAAGAGGGCAAGTTAGCTCAGGTCAGATTAGGAAGGAGAAGCCCTAAGAGGCTGCCAGGAACACACAGCCTGAACTGGAGGAAGGGCCCTGTTTGAGATTGGATATTTCATGTTTATGAGGGGGCCTGGAGCTAGAAAGCCAAGGGCCCTGATTCCCTTTCTTCCCTGCTCCTCTCCTGTGCCTGCTACCCTCCTCCCACACCTACCTCAAGCAATGTTACCGAATTGTTCATGAGCAACACCATCAAGGTGCTGCCGGTCACTTAAGATATGAGAATCTGACAATACATATCTTAGTTACACAATGTCCTTGCAGAGAATTGTAAGTGAGAGTCTGTCCCCGCTGAGGCTTGATTTAAGACTGGGAGGAAATGACAGCATCAGTCACACATTGTGTGGCAGTGAGCCTTTGCCTTACCAATTTTGTTCTCTCTTTGGAGCAAAATCACTTACTTGCCAACCGACATAGACTTGAGAGGAAACATCCTCCGAGAAAAATGTGTGTCTTTAGTATGAGACGATTTGTTCTGTTCTTCTTTTGGGTTCCTTTGAACACTGGTTTCCATCTTGTTTTCTAATGTCACTAAGTGAAGAAAAGTCCTGTGCACACAGGACACAGCATGGTCTGATGCTCATAGCAATTTATTTTCTGTCATTACAGAAATCCTCGGGAGTTCCACCGGAAGGTACGTATTGCGGAGCCGCTCTCATGCTGATGAGTCACCCAGATGATGAGGAGTGTGCCACTGCCTCGCTGGCCTTCCTGTAGACAGGCAGCCGGAGCTGAGCTTCCTCTCATGAATGAGGACCTAGGCTGTGATGGGAGAAATGCTTGTTCCACATAGAGCATGATGGTCACATTCTGCGGTCCCTGGGAGCAAGTGCGTTCTCTGAGGATGGGGGGAGGTTGTGCACATTCAGTTGCTGTGTGTCTTTTTGAATTCATGTGGTGTGACTCTTGAGTGTCCAAAATACATAATGTCAAGGTCATGTAGAGGCTCAGCCTCTATCATGCAGCCTCCTCCTGGTTTCCGTGTTCTGTGCTCAGGAAACACAGCATCATGAAAAGGTAACCAAAGGGCTTGCCCTAGGGTGTGAGTGGCAGGGGGAGCACTTGCCTTCCTAGGAGGATGGAGGGTGACTCATGCATTACGAGGTGGGGAGAGACAAATGTGGCTGTGGGACAGCAGAGGCTCCAGGACGTCCCCATTGAACCCACCGTGGACAAAGGTTTTTGTTTGCTCCTGAAGGCCTTTGCAAAAAACAAGTCAAGGTGGTTGGCTTAAGGTCATATGAAAATAAGATTAACCCAGTTCTGGACTGAGTTTCTTTTGGGAGCCTGCCTTTGGTGGAAATACGTTGTATGTGAGTTGAATTTGATTGCTCTGTAGGTGTCCATACTTAACCCACATTTGAAAAAAATGAGGCTGGTGTGATTTTAAAATGTCCCTCGTTAACCTCAGAAACTATCTCCTCATAACCCAATTCCCCTGGTTATCTCTAATCTTTAGAATACAGTTTTTTTTGTGTGTGGTATTCGGGGCCTTCTGCTGTGTGTGATCAAAGGCACAAATCAGCGTTACCAACGCTGAGGTTCTAAGAATTCCCAGACAGCTGCCCAGTGGCCTCTGTGAGAGAGAGAGCAGGTACAGCCTTGGCCTGGGCCTGAAAAGGAACATGATTTGGAGGAGCAGAAGGAAGGCATGAGGGCAGCAGAGCCATGGGGTATGGGTTGCATAGTATTCGATCGGATGTAATATGCTGCCCACATTTTCTTATCCATTCTTTCTGTAATCCAGTTCTGTCACTGTCAACCCCTCGTGTTCTCCTCGGATGAACTAGTGACACACCAAATGCTCCCTGTCATGGCCTCCACAGGGCGCGCTGGGGGACAGAGCTGTCAGGTCCCCCCAAATGACGAGACGCCTGGTCGCTGAAGTGTCATCTGCAGGTGACCAATACACCACAGTTTGGACAAGCCCACGCTGTATCCTGCACACGGTGGTCGAACCAGCACCCTCAGTCTGTCTCCCTACTAAGCAGCTGTGGGCAGGGCTCAGCACCAGCCAGGCTCAGTGGGCTCCTATTGGATGTGGGGCGATATGTCTGTATCCTGGAGGATGGTTATCACGGAGGCATCTCTTCACTTACCTTCAAGAGGTCTCCGTCGTAAAACGAATATATTAAAAATATCCCAACAGCTTCCAGGGGAGATATCCTTCCCTTGAGGCTTCCTGGCTTGAATTACCTTGATGGACAAAGGGAAAGGTGGCGTAGCCATGAAGAACCCGGGGCACGTGTCTG